TAAACAAAAAATTCATATTTTTTATACTGCTGTGGTAAATTATTTATTATTTCATTGAACAAATACAATTGAAAATAATAAAAGTTTCCTACTGTAGCAGCCTGCAGGTAGTAGTTTTTGTGGATAAATATTGTCATCACATAAAGAATAAATGCATAGGTAGGTACTAGGTAGTACATTTCATTCTCATAATATCATAGGAATCGTAGCCAATTTTTCAAATATTTATTTCTTTGTACCTTTTCAAGAACTACTGACATTAATTTTACATTATTGAAATACGTTATTACATTTCATACTAGTGAAAAATATATATTGCTTAATACGTTCAATAACGTAAATTGTACTGCATAAATACAAAATATTCAACATATAAGCGATAAACCTTATTTCATTAATATATTGGCTAATAAAAACATAATATGTACTCTAAATTTGTTTATAAAGATCATTGTTTCATTATCAGTTTTAAAATAAATTGAAAACATAAAAATATTTAAAACTGTATGTATAATTGTATATGGTATATAAAATTTATCAATCCTATTGATCATACTAATAAAAGATATTGTAATAACGCTTAACGCAAATATAATTGTCTTTACTCAATGTGTACAAAACTCATGATAAAAAATTAATCACAAAAAAAATATTTTAACTTCTAAATTTTTAACTAAAGTATGTTTAATAATCTAATGTAAAAAAATGAATATATTAAATTCAAATCTAACAAGGGAGTAAAAGTTTTAAATTTCAACTAAACTATTATGCTAATTAATGTCAACAACTCATGTACATAATATTACAATTAAAACCATTTTGTGCAAAAATATAAATTAAAATTTCTAATTGTTCAATTGTGACAAAACGACTAAATGTTGTCGTTTTTGACAATATTATTTTACATTACAGGCATATAAATATATAATATACTAATAATGCATTTATTTATACCTAACATCACGAATCTTACATAATATTATTGATAAACAATACACATGTTATAATAAACTGCAATCCTTCTATTACAAAACGTTAACAAATATATGAATATCTAATAAAACCATTTAAAATATCTCAATAACATTTTGAAAAAAAAAAACATGCAAATAGCAGAGTAAGTAAAATACATAAAAAAACAAAACTGTTTGTAAAGTTCTCATAGATATTATACAACATTTATTCTTGAAAATAGTTTTACTATACTTCAAACGTTATGTTGAAAAATTATATAAAGTTTACACTATATTATTTATTAAATAAAATATTAGGTAACAAATAATTTTAACTGAACTATATACTACGATATAGTACATCGTACATGTGTATGTTTCAAAGGCTGTTTAAAAGTTGAAGTTTAAAATATGAGAACGTGAAATATTGTAATGCAGTGCTATAACAATGGCACTTAAAATCAATCGAAAATCAACGAATATGCTTACTTAAAATATCGTTTATTAAACATTATTTTGATTTTTGTCCACTAAAGACACGATACACGTGATTATTCCTCATTTATTGACTAAGACACTCGTCTAGTCGTAAAATTAGGAATACTGAGTTTTTCTTTTATATTTTACAACTCATGACAGTAACACGGCTGGCATGTTATTTAAATGAATATACATATAAGTAAGAATAAATCAACAAACGAAAAATATATTACTAAAAGCATACGAATGTCTTTAATCAATGATATACCTAGTTATAAGTTATTAGTGATGGTATATAATTTATTACTTATAAATCTATCAAGAATAAAAATATTATTTTATTTTTATTTATATGCCAACGTATAGTTTATATTATAATATAATATCACTGATGTTAGCAATTTTAATAATAATGTTAGGTACAATGTGCTCTCATGCCTAACTCTAACCACACAACCATAAAATAATAAATTCTAAGGGCGATTTTGGTATAATAATATGCATGTGTGGTAGTGAACGAAGACAAAATATATTTTCCTCTTTCACCCTCTTAAAAATATAAATTATATTAAAAATAGTGAATATACTTTTTTTTTATACCAATTGTCAGAAAATAAGCACTACAAGTTTATGGATTTAAAAAAAATAATTATACTTTTGATAAAAAATATTTACTTTTTTAAGTGGTTTTAGTTTAAAGACATAGTATACATTTGTTTTAAATAATAACTGTATAAAATGTATAATGTGGTAGCTGGTAAACCAAAAACAATTTTACGTATTACGCATAAACCAATCTATTTATGTCACAAACAACTACCGACTTCAAAATATGTACGGATTTAAACAAATAACAGTTTTGCAAGATGGAAAAAAAATGAAAAAAGGTATTAACATTATCATTTTGAAATTAAATTAAATTCTAAGATAAATATCATCTCGTTCTACTTGTTCAAAAATAAGTACAACAATATAATATTCTAGTATTCCTGATAACTTCAATACTTCTATTACTTAAATTATAACTGATTCTAATATTATATGTAGAATTTCATCTTTTAGATTCTGGGCAGAGCGATGAATGTATTAAATTTACAATGATGTATGTTTATTGTGTATGTGACCACCGTTTGGAGCAGTAAAATTGCGATTTTCTTCAACAGTATCGTGTTTGATGGAAAAGTAAATCTAGTTGGTGTACACTAAAGTGGTACACACTTTCATACTTTTTTTTTAAAACTGATAAGCATAATATGTTATCAAGGATAAATGTATTTAAATAAGTAAACTTGTATCGATAATAATGTAATATTATTATGTGTAATAAAAAAATTATATCACTTATTATTAACAGGAAACAGCTAAAGTGAGTATCATCCATCGATTACATGCAAAAACTCTCAAACCTCAATTTATATGTATAAAGGTTTCAGAAGATAATATTAAAATTTTACCCAGCCCTTTTTCATTGGAAACCATTCCACAGTTACAGAACTTTGTGTAATCATAATTTTTACGTATATTATAAGTATCACTTTTCTTTGTCATAAGTTATTTGCCTTTTATAGTTAGTATACATTTGAAACATTTATACTTTCAAAATGTTAATACTTTTATTTCTTTGCTTTTATATTTTAAATACATGACTCAATCGAGATAAAAAAAATTTTAAAAACATACAATTACTAACAAATAAACTAATATGCATATAATACATATAGTTTGTATATTATGATATTATCCATGATCATTCCTCTGCAGTTACCTGCCACGGTCATCAACCAACCCAATTTTCAAAAAATTTTCGAAATTATAAAGAAATACATGCAGGTATGCAACAGATCGCCAATTTATTATTTTTACCAAAATTAAAAAGTTGAATTGCTCCTTAGAAGTATCACAACTCGAAATGTGCAATCAGATACTTAGGTGTGATCCAGTCCATGGTCTAAATTTTCAAGGTTATTGCAATAGTACCCCCTCCCCCCCCCCTATATCATTTTATTACGTTAATGAATTATGTCAGCGTAAGTGGACGACCTATACTGACAATACTATGATATTATATACTAAGATATGAACTGTACGGTGCATTTATTTTTGTCTGATACCAATATAGGGTGAGTGTAATAACCTTGTATACTTAAGCCATGATCCAGACCAAAGGTATGCCCAAAAGACGTAATTCAATTACAGTGGTTAATCAAAAACTAGTAACTAAACAGTTTACAACAAATTTATAATTTCTCTCCATAAGTTAATATAGATACCTTTAATAGTGTCGTTTATAAGCGAATTTTCAAGATTCATAAGATAAAGCTAAGTACCTTCACTGGGAAACTAAAACTTTCTAAGTTTATTAAATCTATTCTAAAAGTTATAAGACTGTTATTGTGTTATTATACTACACTGATAACGATCATGCTATTAACCTCTTGGTACATATTATGTCTCCTCAAGAAGTTATGCACTGACACACGAAATTGAATTGAGAATTTATTCAAATTATTTTAGGCTATTTTATTTATAAATAAAACACATTTAAGAATCAAATCGAATTAAATAATAATTTGCTTTTTGGTGTGCACTCAGAAATAAAGTAAATCAAAGTTATATAGAGATGAAATACAAAAAAAACTAAGTTAAAAAAATAGCCTAACCTTACATATAGAACTATTGAAGAACCCATGAATAAATATTATGATTTATGACTTAATAAGAGGGGTGGCAAAAATTATTATTAAGTTAATTTTTGTGAGTTATCGGAATACGTAAAAATAACTACTGCAGTAACTTTTGTAGTAGAATAAAAATACGAAAAGAATAAAATGGAAAATTAAAAGTAAAAATTATAGAAAATGAAGTGTAAAGGGATATGGTTAAATAGCATACGTACAAATATAGAACGAACCAGCAGGTCGATGTCCCATTCTACTATGGTCCTTCTAAGAGTGAGACGCCACGACGAGCCCTGCTACTATTATGGTACATAGAGTTAAATGGTTTGATAAATAAATATTTGTTTACTTAATAAAATAAATAATAACAAGACTGAGGCACTCGGGGACTTCAACGGTAAAGCTATTGCATAGCAATTTGTAGCTATGTATCATATGTAATTATAACTATTTATATGTGTATGATATTAATTCAAGTTACAATTTTTGAGTGGAACAGAAAGTGCAATTGCAAACTAAAGTGCAGAACAAACAAATACACTTGACGATTAGCGGGAATATTGTGCAACTGAAAATGTCACAACGAAAATAAATAACAAATAATAATACTTTTTATATTTAATTAATAATAAAAAAAGGTGCTCTGCTGTACAGTAGGTTACAAGTAGGTCACTGTATAATGGACGGTATTAAATTTGAATTCAATGATATAATATCATTTTATAACAAAAACGATTCTGAGCGGAGACAGTATAATGTATAATTTAACATCTTAACTTTACAAAAATTGAAAAATGATGCATGGTTTTCAATATTATTATATCTATGTTTAATTCTAATTTAACTCTAAAATGTCTGTTTATTTTTTTTTCAGATTTTTAAATCTACCATGATGGACGAACTTCATAACAAAGCTGTATGCAATGAATCTTTAGAAGGAAATATATTAAACTTAAAAAGTAACATTTCGATTCCAATAGACAGCTGCAATAATTATACAAATCACACGGAGTTGTATATAGAACGTGAGTAGAAAAAAACTTATTTTTCATTGTTTTCTTGTACATATTATTTGTATACAAATATATTCAATTATTTAAAAATGAATTTATTTTTTTTTAAATCTAAGATTAATACAATTTACAAATTTACAATATTTACTATCTTTGTTGCTCTATGATATACCTAATCAAACTTTATTTAGTTAAGAACAATATCGGTTGGTTTACACTTATAAGTTATAGGTAGGTGCCTGATTCTGAATGTCTATAGTTAAAAATCTTCGAAAGCTTAAACTTTGTCTGGTGTTGTAGTGTGTACATATACATACAAAGTTTTGGAATTTAAAGTTAAAATTGAGTGTCATGTTATCAGACATGTCTAGTTGCAACTTGGTTTAAGTGAACCTCAATTCAAAGAATTTTGTTGATCAGCAAAAATAGCAAAAATAATATAACACATATTAATTCAATTGCAATTTAATACAAACTCTTTTAATGATGTTGTGGACAAATCATGACTATTAAGTATTAAATGTATTGTTTCGTAAGTTTCTTTAAGTCTTGTAATTAATTAATTTTGTTTTTGATTAGCTTATGACTTATGACTGATGAAAGGGTTATTTTATATTTTGTGCTGGTAATCGATCGATTTATAAGTGATAACAGTGGTAATCCATTTTAATAATTTAGAAAATTGACAAAAAGTAAATTATTGTTAATTTTATTTAATGATTTGAGTTTATAGTCAGATACTTCTACTGGGAATAAAATCTAGATGAGTTTGTATCAATTGTTTTCTGCTAGGTTGTTTAACGGTTAATTGTATTGCTTACATTATTTATGTGACTTGTGTTATTGAGATTATAGTATAAGTGGGTATACTAGGTATCCTGTTTTTTCGAGATTGGTTTATAGAATCGTCGAAGTTCTTTGTAGATGTGCAATCCTTTGTAGTTATCTGGAGTCTTCGACTCAAATCACAGTGGTGCTAAGGGTTCTTAGTCCTCTAAATATAAATACTAGAAGCCTGAATCTCTTGATTGTCTTAAGACTTAAATAATAATTAAAAATCTTGGACACGTACCACTATCAAGGGTCAATATAGACTATAGGACATATCAGTTATGCACATAGAAAGAGTTACGGGTTGATAGTCCTTAATAATGCATCTATTTGAAATAAATATATTGAAAAATAACTGTCCACTGTAATTATATATTTCTACTTTCTAGTATAGTTACAGACTACAATGAAAATTCCATATAATGAACATCCAATTAACAAAATATTCTGATAAACTAAATATTTTTCAGAACCAAACCAAATTAGAACCAAAATATGTATTAAATACTATTTTACAAAATTCTCCACAATACCTATGAATGTATTTTGTTGTTCATGAGGCCTAGAGAGGCATCGCTGTACATATAAACTTTTAAAAAACACTTAATTTGATTTGTGTACATTGTTATAATTATATGGTTGTGTTTTTAATGCAGTAAAAGAATTTAAGAACTTCAAAAAATTAACTTTAATAATACTAAAGATATAATATGTACATTACATATTATATCTTGAATAATGAATTCAAACTTCAAGCCTCTCATGGCTTTGCTTCCTCTAAAAAAAACTTGAGTAATTTGAGCCTGTGTGACACTGGATCATCTACCTTGCAGAAAACATATATTATTTTGACAGTTGACTCATATAAATTACTGCAACCTATGCATGAGTGTATGATTATCTCCGAAGAGAATCTGAGAATGCCCAATGGAGAATATGAACACTATTTTATTTTTGTTGACTGGTAGTGGTATTGGCAATATATACAGTGTACAATGTTTCTAAATTTGTGTGGCTCTACTTCACATTTGGTTTTGTGTATCGAGTACTAAATATATCCTAATACATCCTCATTGGTCAAATCAAAAGTTGTAAAATTTATTGCTAAAGATAAAAATAAATCATTGAAAGTTTGGTCTTCTTGGGTTTTTTATTTAGAATATCAGTAAGCTTATGGGCTGAAAACCCTATTTCTTTTATAGATATTCCTATCTAATCTGTTGGTGTAGACGGGTTTTGGAATACCACCAGAAAATACTTTTCTTCTTGGGAATAATATTATGTATTGTGCGTCTTAATCTTTTAGAAAACGTAAAAATAAATTGTTTGACAGAATGATTCACATTTAGTTGTTTGGACTTGTAATTCATTTGTAGACGATTTAAAAAAGTAAGTTATCAGAACCATTAAAATTAGTTGGCTCCTAACGAAGACAACGTACGATAAGACGTATTGGTAGGGGAAGCTTTGTTTTAGTAATTTGTGCATTATCTGAGATTTTAGTATCATTAACGATCTTCCCCTTTATTATAACACATTAATCTAATTTAAATTTACAATAATCGATATACTTATAAACGATAGTGTTTATTTCAATTTATTTAAATTTATTTATTATTATGATTACGTTAAATTATCCTTATTATATCAGTTTTAAAGTCTATTTTAAAAAGAACGCAAACTGTAATTTACAACTTACCAATATTGTAATATTTTTTTTAGAAGTAAACTATCAAATATTAAATCTTAAAGTAGTGTAAGTACGTATGTTTTAATGATGTATGCTGAATTATGATTTTAAATTTATTCACATTTAAATAATATGAAGAAATAAGTACTTAAAATTAAAAAACAAAAATAAATAAAATATTATAATATTAATACAAGCATACATTATTACGTAATATAATATTATTACATATTGTTTATACCTACTATACTATAGTATATACTTGCATATTTTTATTTACCATAAAATTTATTTACATAAAATAGTTATAAAACTATTATAGCAAGAGCATAATGCACAGCCCTAATGTAAAATCGCATAAACTATTATCATTCATGAAATTTAATATAATATTATGATATGTGTCATATTATGTTCATGATTGCAATTAAAACGTTATTTTGAATTAAATATAGTTGATGATAAAATACCTATAGTTGAATATTGTTGATTTATAAGATAGTTTAAACAATATTTCTGGTCAAATTACTTTTATGATAAATCTGTATTTGATGATTATACCTATACTTATTTATTTTTAAAAGGACTCCAGTTGTAAGCATCATTATTCTTTTTTATGTTAAGGATACTTGAAAGATTTTCAAAAATATATTTAAATAGGATTTTTTTTTTTTGTTTAAACGATTCAGTTATATATAGTATAATAGTTATTATGCCACCGTACTATGATTATGAACTATTCTTGCAGTATTGTCTATTAGATATTAAATATTCATAGCACGTGAGCAAGTTTCAAAGGTACAAATCTGTATAAAGCTTATAGACCACGTGATATATACCTACCGTATAGTTAATAGGTATATGAGGAGGAAATACAAATCGTCGACCTCGTCTAAAAGCTTTGTCGACGATTTTACATATTTTGTTTGTGTGTAGGTGCTTATATATTATACTTATACTTCCAAAGTAAAGAGTGCACGATTTCTGTTCGGATCGAGGGAATGACGTTTTCTGTTATCGGTAGGAAGATTATCTGTAACGGATCCGTCGCCGTATATATTTCGTAGAGCAGATTTCCCCGCCGCTGCAAATATAATTGAACATTTTAATAATATAACTAAATATACGACGTATACACTCAGATATTATAATATAATAATAATAATTTTCCAATCGATATTACAGTCGACCTGTGAATACTATAGATGCGATTAATTACGTGCCTGTAATTCGAAAACGGCGATCGATCGTGCGTCACCCTCCCCCAGACGCTATGGTGAGGGGAGGGTGGCAATTTCCGAACTTGCTTACCATAACTTTTTTAGTTTTTTCACAGACACTGCTCTCCGGTCCCGTAAAGTGTCGCGTTACAGGTACCGTTATTAAATCGCGAAAGACGCACGGTTCGAGAGCGTGTTTTGAAAGAAAATAATGTGCGTAGGGGTACATATTATAATAAAATAACCCTATCTCATTACAATTCAACACCAACAATAATATTTCCGTTTATTAGTGGGGGTGTGATTCATTCGCCACGTGCAAATCATTCAACGCCCTAGCACCATAGTATAGTATAGGTATGTATTACAGGCCACCGTAGTCTCTCATCCAAAACCGTATTTTTTACTCCTTATTCTCTGGTTCACATAATATTGCGTTCGCATTAGGATCAATTGTTATTTTTTTTTAGTCCCACGCCTAGAATTTCTACTGGGCAAAGCCTATGTTATAAAAATAATGTAATATTACCTAACAATGACATTCCTGCTCGACAGTCGAAAAGGCACAGACATCTATAACAATAACTACAATTTCTACCTACCTCTATATAATAATAATATGATGAAGGTACCTTATACCACTCGTGTAGTATAGCGTCCCTGTATGTATAGCATATACCAAGGGCGTATCCTAGGTAATAATAGTGCGCTGTTTTGAAAATGGAAAAAAATGTGTAACTATTATTTAAACACGCATACAGTACATAATATTATATTACAAATACAACGTTATTGTGACAGCTATAATATATATTTATACGAATATAAATCTATTATATACTGCAGGGGTGGCCAAACAGTTTATGGCGATCGACTGGTCGATCTTGGACGAATTTTAAGTGTATCCCCTTAGAATTTTTGTCTTTAATTTGTCATTTAGTAGATACAGTTATTAAATACATATATTTTTTGTTATTGTGAAATGGCATTTTCTCACATGAAAGTTATAAAAGCTGAGTAGGTTGGGTTTTATGATAATTTAGATTTTACCACAACGACTTCGCTTGGCCATGGTATGAAACAACACGCTTCTACATCAACAGTATGATGGTTGTACATTTGAAACACTCGTTTTAGATAACTTAACACTTCACAGTTTTATTTTATTATTTATATTTATATAAGTATATTTATTATTAATATTAAACTATTTTTTTACATTAGTCGATCATAAAAGAAAAAATATACCCTCAGTAGATCTTAATCAAAAAAAGTTTGGCCACCCCTGATATAAGGTACGTCGAGTTGAAAATATTGAGGTGCGCTTTAAAAGCATCATGCTATAAATATATTCATTAAATCGCTATGTAAACGATTTAATCGGTGTCTTATTATATTATATTATGTTTAAAGGGTATACTTATTATAAAGTATAATTGGTAGGTGTTAACAGTGAAAAATTGATTTTTTTTTTAAATTTCAAAACAGTTCGTTTTTAATTTTTGTTTTCACTTAAATATTTTACGTTTTAAAATATGTCATTTTACTTTTAATTCCACTACGTAACCCGTTCTTTAAGTCATACATTATAATCTAAAACATTTAGTAGAGCAATATTGGGTTTGTTTAACCACGGTACCTAATAATTTTGAAGTGAGTGGATAGTGGATACCTATAATTATCTACCTTATAACTACCATATTTTGTGGTTAAATCATGAGTGTAAAACTGTAAAAAATATCAGCTTTAATGTAATGAACATTTTTATTATTATTTTTTTTCATCGCCTGCCAAATATATTAGTTACAATTATTTACTTTTTATTCTGTTATTCCATAGTCTGATCCAGTGCACTGTTATGATAGTGTACAATGTACATATTATTATACTAAATGTCATTCATCTTACAAATATAATGGATTTGAAACAGTTTCATATTATAATACATTAGGTACCTATAATATGAAGCACACTGAAATTAGTCATCATATAATTCAGTAGAGGTGTGAAGTGCAATATATAGATATACTATATACGTATTCCAGTACTCACCTTTCTGGCTTTCATATATTATTAGGTATCTCTGGGATAAGGTATAATAATATGTGTATAATCAACGTGCATTTAACTATTTAAGTAATATTTTATAGTATTATAAGTGTAGGGTATATCTGGTACTCAAATGTTTATTTGAAGTGATTCCGCACTCATACAAAACAATTTCATCAAAAAACCTTATTTACCAAGCCACTGTGATCAGCTACAAAATTAACTGATGTAATTAATCTCTTGGAATTTAATGACGTTAAATCGAGAGGTAACCCTCTACTTCGTATTATTAGTTTAAACTTCAACATTTGAATGGTTCAATGGGCACTAATATGATAATCTAGATTTATAGATTAGTAGTTAATACGTGCTTATGGGTTACATCAGGAGTTTCAGATGACATTTTATTTTATTAGAATTATTAATACACGACGTGATTCACAAATATGTGCCCCATCCACCCACCCCATTTTTCATTAATAACTCAAATTCTGATGATTAGAATTTTTAAGTTTACTTAAATAACATATTTTCAAAGACGTAGTTTGTTTTATATAATTCTAGAAGTGTCTTGTGTGTGTAAAGATACAATCTCTTATTTTTTCAAATGAGAACTAACCTTTTTTTTTACTGTCAACTGTTAAGCCAATGATTTTATTGAAAATATTAATATACATAATATCTAAAACTAACGATTAATTAATCTGAAACAAATTCAAACGAGTAGTTTGTCAGTCATTGAAATATAAATACAAAGAACTAATAGGATTATAACCCTCAAAAATTATATAGAAGAATATACAAAATTGTACACGAAATATGTTTACAAGTTATGCAAAGTTGATTGACTAATATTAATAATTATCATTTTCATTTTCAAATCATCGTAACTCATCATATATGGGCCATATCAGATATCGTCTAGACATAACATAATGAACCTATCATCATCATCGGTATAAAGAATTAAATGACACAAAAACTACTCGTTTGAATTTCGATTTAGGTATATATTAAAAATTTAAAAAAAATGTATTGGCAATTGCTTGAAAATATGCACAATCAAAGGGTGATTTTAATTGAAAAATAAGTAAGTTTCATCACAGGATCCTAAAATTCCTGCTGCACCTTAAATGGTATAAGCAATCTAAGTGGGTATTAATATCCAATATTGTGAAAATAGGTGAAATATTATTGTCCTTCTGACCCTCTATAATAATATTATAATAGGTACATTATAATGATATAATAAAACGTTTTATTTATAAATAACTATTTTAACCAAAACACTCGATGTTATTATATATTTTATTTTTATGATAATATTATAGCTACATTATTATACGATGTACCAGTAAGCATAATTCTTCTTCTGTCAATGTTCTATGGAACGATTTCTGTCATGGCAGTGGTTGGAAATGCTTTAGTAATATGGATTGTGACGTCGAGCAGACGGATGCATAATGTGACCAACTTGTACATAGCAAACTTGGCATTAGCCGATATCGTTATCGGTCTGTTTTCTATACCATTTCAAGTAAGTAATTTTATTATACTTATTGCACCGATGTACGACGATTGGTATAATTTGTATAAAAATTGGGGCGTGTTATAAATATTAAGATCATATACTTTGGATGAAGCCACAGCGTATTAAAGTTGCCTATATATCAGCGACGAGTCACCGAATTAGGAGTTTGATATGCGCATGCGTGACACAAGTTCTCGCATATTTATCTTCAGATAATTTGTTATTAGATCACCATATTGTGTTTTGAATAATATAATATTATATTCAAAAAAATAGTGTAATTATATAAGTAACCACGAACTAAGATTTAGAATAATTATGTGATAGTTACCTATGGATAATTATGTGGAGATTTGCATCGCACATGAGCACATTGATCACCTAATTCGCATTGCCACAATTAGGATTCTCGGGGGCCCCGGACAAAGTCAATGTATGGGCCATGGGGCCCTGAGGTCTAATGTTTTATGTATATAATATACATTATAGGTTTTTTTTTATAAGTTACCTATACAGAAATGAATAATGATAGTGATTTTTTTTAAAAAGCCTAAAAATATAATGTGAAGCTGTGAAGGCCCACCACACCGTGACCATTTTTTTTAAATTATTTTTAGTAGGACTTAATGAGCAGTAGCACTAAGATATTAATGACCATTTATAGATAAATATGGATATTATTATGGATAAATATTGGCCCCGTTCTTCGACAACAAATTAGATAGCATAATAAATTATGAAAATAAATATTTTTATTTGATATATTTTATTTGATTTAAACATTAGGTTACAATGCAATTATTTAAAAATTTAAAATAGATGCAGGACCCCTTGAGCCAACGATTAGTGGCCCTCTACAGGGGCATTGCCCCGGCTGCCACTGTGGTTGTTGCGGCACTGCTAATTCGAAGACTCGCTGCTAATATCGGCAACAAAATAGTACGCTGTGACTACATCCATAGTGATAGTATATGATCTAAACTATAAATACACAGTGTAGAAATGCGCTAGACTAAACCGGTTTAAAATTATCCCACATTATCCCACACCGGGATAGTGAACCATGTAAATTAGGGAGTTTGTAATTTGCACCAAATTAAAGATTTTGTACCACTGCAGATAGTTGAAAGTAGTGTACAACAATATGTGTAAAAGCTCAGCTATTTCATAAATAAAAACTAAGCTAAATTTATATTAGGATATAGAAACTTGCAAGTTGGTACTATCGAGATAATATCAAAAAAATCATCGATTTTAATTTTGGTGCAAATTACAATTCCTATTTCTTACTACCTAAAGATGGTGCAAATTACATATCTTTTTTTTTGGTGCAAATTACAAACGTATTTTTAAAAAATGGTGCACATTACACGTGTTGTTTATATTTTGGGTCAATTTTGGTTCAAATTGACTACAGCCGTAAGTTATATGGTCCTAAGATCCCGATGCATTATTTTTCACACCGGTTTAGTCTAGCGAATTTCTAGTGATTCGCACTATCTATCTGCGTTTATTTGCATTGCAATATATCACTGTAAGTTTAAAATATGTATCTATATATGTACACCGGCCCACTTTTAAGCCCAGAGAACAAAATATAAAATAGCTAGATAAAATATAGATAATTCTGTAGAAAAATATCTTAATACATATTATTATAAAGTATATAATATTAAATATTAAAATTGGGATTTTTATAAAAATGTATATTAATACCTTTTTATATGATTTTTTTATTTTATTATTATCCGAGCTAAGCGAAGAATTTATCGATTTTACAATGACACTTTGCGTATTGTTATTTTTTTGTTGTGTGTATGTTCACGTCATCATGTTTTGGAGGTGGAAAATTAATCCAATGTTAAATATTGAAAGTGATTTCTGATAGAGAATTGTATATAGCTGGTATTTTGTGCTAGCCAGGAATTCCTAAAACTTTAATTATTATTTGGTAAGACTAGTAGGGAAAATATGGATATTTATGCATCACTCAATTTTATTTTATTGTTTTCATAATCGTGGAGACGTGCAATTTTCAACAACTAATTTATTCACTAATTACATTAGTATTTTTTGTTTTTTTTATTAATTGGTAAAGGCTTCAATAGCATAAGTTTTTAGCCTGCATTATCTTAATATTTAAACACAAAGATTTAGATGGATATTAGAACTTAATACTTGTATTGACAGTTATTTACAAATTATGATTGAGGGAAAAAACTCTGATTTCAATAATCTAATCTTCGTTGGTAGAGTGTATTTTATAGACATAATAATATTGATAATATAGTTTTCAAAAATATTCATAAGCCATTTATATTAATTTTAAGTTTTGTAATTTTGTATAGTTTTTTTTTTACTGTTTTAATGTATTAAATGTATGTTTACTGGAAAAAAGTTTAAAAACTGAATACAAAGTTGTTCCTGTCGTAAATCGTTTTTATAGCAATTTAGTAGGGAAAGAGATTCTTGGTAAGTTTAAGTTATTGATGGATTTAAAAATTTAGAAATACATTTTAAAGTCACATTTTTTTATTCACTCTTGAGTGTTGAGTGTCAATTTCCTCACAATCGTCGGCTTTAACAAAAATATTATAACATTAATATTTATTTTCAGAGAGATTACGTAATAAATAATAAATATTTAATAACATAGATGTTTTTATTTTATTATTATTGGTCTTAAGCCCGGCAACTGCGGCCATTAACTGTAAGGGATGGTACTGTAGGATTTTTGGGACGGTAGGGAACGGTCGGAGGAACACGTTTTTGTGTTTGGCAGAATTTTCAAGTGGGCATCAGTAGCCCGTAGGTATCTGCAATTTCCTGGTGGGGGATGGTGGCCTCTCTCTCCAGACACTGTGACTGCCCGAAGAGAAGTACCACCCGTAACCGAGGTTCGAACTGTCGACACCTTAGTCCGCTCGGCCACTCCGTCCCCCATAGATATTATGTTATTTGAGGACCTACAGACTTCGTTATATAAAATGAAAATGAAAAATTGAAATCAATCGAAATATTATTAGAGGATACCTTAATATGTATAATTGTGTGTGTTTTATCACATGATAGGTACTGATATATTGACATGAATTAAAATCTTTCATCTCGAAACTTTGTCTGGATAGATATTATATTATCTAGATACTGCTCATCGATGCCCGGGCATTTAAACGGGGGGGGGGGGGGGGGGGGTAACATTTGCCTTCATTTCACATAATAGGTTTATTTTATGAATTAATATTATACTGAAATGCTGTGGTAACATTTAAGTTTCAGGCCGCCCTGTTGCAGCGATGGAATTTACCGGCTCTAATGTGTCCGTTCTGTCCGTTCGTACAAGTGCTTTCAGTCAACGTGAGCATTTTTACCCTGACCGCGATCGCAATTGACCGACACAGAGCTATTCTCAGTCCGCTCAGGTTAGTGCGAGTTGTGTTTCCCGGTGAAACAAATAAAGGTATAGGTACCTAACACAACAACAACCACCGACCACAGTAATAATTATTATTACGTTACGTTGACATTTATAATAATAATATATAAATAGTTGCTGTTGTGTGTTAACTTACAGTGTTGTAATTATGATTTATTTAATATTATTATTATTATTAGTAGTAGTAGTAGTAGTAGTAGTGTTCTTATTGTTATTATTGTTATTTCGTATATTGTTAACAGCGCAATACCATCGAAATTCCGAGCAAAAATGTCAATAGCTGCCATTTGGGCGATAGCTTTTGTGCTCGCGACGCCAATGGCTATTGCTCTCAGAGTGCAATTTATCGAATACGGAGATAGAGGTCAGTAGTAATTTTATTTATACGAAGAATTTCCTTTTCTCTTACAACCATTCTCCTTCTTCAAACAGTTTCTAAATACCCCGCATCACGAATGCCTTAGGTTTATGTAGTACAATGTACACTACGACTACAACAACTATAATTATAGACAAAGTACATATTATTATTATTTTTTTTTTTAATTTGATCCTACTCCCAGCAACTATGGCCATTAGCTGTTTTTTGTTTTGTAGGTTTTTATGTCAGTAAGGGGAGGAATACGTGTGTGTTTTGTTTGGCAGTATTTTTGATTAGGTATCTGCCATGCCAGGGTGGGTGATGGCGGCACTTGTTCCCCGGACACCGTGACTTGCCCGAAGAAAAATGACGCCTATGACCGAGGTATCGAGCCAGCGTCGGCTGCGTCTCAACTGACGCCTTAGACCACCCGACCACTACGTTCCCTGTACATATTATTATTTCATTATTTAACCGTACTAAATAGATGCCATGTCAATAATCAATTGTATTAATATTATAATGTGTTAAATTAAAAATCATAGGACTGGATTTTTACAAACACAAAAAATATAAGCCATGGATATAGTAGGTATTGTTAATTATTTTATTCAACGTATTATTATTATTTTTGTAAACTAATAATACTTAAATTTAGATTAGTAAGTATGTTATAGAATTAAATATTTGAATAAGGGACACATATGCAAACTAAATACTAAATATTATGAAAACCGTTACGAAAATAATACATTGTTTTGTTCAGCAAGCAAATGTGTGGTTTTTAAGACAGGCACATACACACGCACCGTCATGCATATAATCAAGTGAATAAAACAATTATTATAATCATCTGGTAAACATGTCAAATACAATTATTTAATTTACCAAAAACCCATATTGATATAATTAAAATTACTAACACACACATCATTAAAACATTTAAAATTCTGTACAACTTTTTACGTTTTTCACTTAATGCATTTCCTTAAGTTTTTAACTATACGCGCGTTACACAATGATGAATTAATAATAAATTAAAAAAATAACTATAATGATATGTTTACTATAAGGTTCTAAACAATTGAAAACAATAGTAGTACTACACAGGGGCGTACTAGCCCATACTGACCTACTGCCTTGTAAGACAGTAGGTCCTTGAACTACGAGGGAACGATGCCCTTTATTAATAAGTGCAAATGGGCCATAATTAAGGGATAGCACGCCTTAAATATTTATTATCTTCAACTGTAGTTTCTGAATTTTATAATAATTTATAATTTTATGGAACACTATAAATCGATAGGTCCTCCTTGATTATATATTATTGGTGTAATTAAAGTTGGAATTATGTTAGTTTTATAGTAAAAAAGTGCTCTGCTGTACAGTAGGTTACAAGTGGGTCACTGGATAATGGATGGTATTAAATTTGAATTCAATGATATAATATCATTGTATAAGAAAAATGATTCTGAGCTGAGGTGGTATGTCAGTCTAGGTATAAAACATATCATATACATATCTATGGTATTAAAAAAAAATTGACCTTTAATAAATTCCAAATTAATTTTGGTAACAGAATTAACTACTTAAGTGGAATTTTCTTTTAAATTTTCAATCCTTATATATAAAAGTTGAACATTTTATAAATTTTTAACTACAAAATAATTATTCAATTTTAAAATTCAAATTTTTTATAAAAAAAAATTAAAATACATAGTAGTATATGTAGTAGTTTTAATATTTTTCAACTGATATTGTAACAATATATCAGGAGCCTTGTATTAAACTTTTACACTTTTTGGCCCAACAAATAAAATGTTATTGATATATATATATAAAAAAAAACTAAAAAAATTGAAAACTGTAAATGTCCGTAAACAGCTCAAAAAGAGTCAAAACACAGACACAAAAATAAAAAATAAAAAACACACATCATTGTAAAATCAATACATTCATCGTTACACTCAGAATCTAAAAACACACATCATTGTAAAATCAATACATTCATAGTTCCACTCAGAATCTAAAATAAAAATTCTCGTTTTTCCTTTGAATTTTCTGAATGTAGAGCATTCTATAATTGGATGTTAATAACAGGCTTTTACCGCCCCTGCCACTACAACTACCATTGTTTTATTAACAGACTTTAAAATATATTGATTATTAGAACTGAATAATTTATAATCGTCAATAAATCATAATATTTCAAACCCTTAATTTTGCTCAATTTTTATTCAAACACTTGATAAATAAATTATGTTCTAACTACAATCAAACATATTATCACCGAATGCAGAGACACAAAAGAGGCACGACAAAAATTCAACATACCGGAACACCTTCACGACGCACTGGGCCCTGACGAAAAATCCATCCAAAACATAATTTTATTTTTGAAAGATACTGAACTGTACAATTTAATTTAAGTCACCATTAGATGTAAAAGTAAGCCAATGGTCACGTTATCGAGGCTTTTCTCTTAATAAAAAAAAAAAAAAAAAAAATTATGTTCTTTAATTTTAATATTTATAAATTAATATTAATGAGTAATAATCTTATATAATAAAACGCTAATAACGCGTATAAGATCCGCGGGGAGCGCTCACGGCACTCCGCGTTTCTTCCATGACGACCAATCACAATACTTCCCGCGCGTTCGCTATAAATTCCGCTCGCTTATCTCCCTTTTCCTTATCGATCCTAATATTTTGGAACATTATTATTATTATTATTAAAAAAAAAACCCGTGTTTTTCAATTTTTTGACGTGATAATAACGTCTTATAAATCGATTACCCCGCGACCGTCGGGCGGAGTGGGGGGACCCATTAAACGAGTAATTATTTTTGACCAAGTATAACTTAGCCGGTATTCGACTTAGAGACCCCGTACCAATGGGCATCTCAATTTTTTAGGCCCCAGATGAATTTTCAACATTAGGGAACCAAAGCCCCCACCCCCCCCACATTTTGAGTTGAGTATAACTCGGCCGGAATTCAAGTTAAAGACCTCGGACCAACGGGGAACCCATTCTTTTTATGAATACTACCGTTTTCCGCTTTAGGGAACGGGGGCACCTCCTCCCCCCCTTTTTGGATTTTGCTTTTTTGATGGATTTTGGTCCGGGAGAGTACTAACACCCACCTCGCCAAGGGGAAACTCGGGGTTTTGAGTTTTTGATAGGATTTATTGGGATTTTCTTAAATATTGTTTTTATTGATAAGGAAAGTGATAAGAATTTTATTTTATCGCCGCGAGCACGGCGACGCGGCTTAAGAGTCATACATTTGAATCGGGACTTCATCTGAGTAGGTGGCTAGGTTGGTTAGGCGTTAGGATAAGTGACTCGAGGGTCGTGGGTTCGAACCCGGCCTCTGGGATTTACGATAACTTGCGCCATCCGTGGTATTTTGAATTTTTTTTTTTTTCGAGTTTTTTTTTTCGTCACATTTTTTTTTTTTTGGCAAAAAAATATTAATATATATTAAAGTAGATATTTTAAATTGTAACTAAATTGTATAATGATACTGTACTATTTTATAAATAATAATAATAATACTTGATTTTACCGTGACCAACGCACCTATATGTTTCTTATATAAATACAATATAATATAACTAACCTACATGTAGTACCTACTTGATATATTACAGTTTTTAGGTTAAATACTGTTTAATACGGTATTAATAAACTAATAGATCTAATAGAACTTATTAAACTCTGGCAGTTAAATAGTACGACTATATGACTGCTCTTTTTGCCGTTTTTTTTGAAAATTATAGTTTTAGCCCCTTTCGGTCATATCACCCTCCCCGTCGACTACTTATTCGCGTTCCCTGCTATATTTATAGCCACAGACGAGTCCCGGGGTGGAGTAGTGTGTCGGAAACGAGAGTAGGTACCGTGTAGGTATCGCTATATACAGGCATATATACGCATGTATATACATGCGCCTCGAGATTCGATTTTTTTCGCAAATCTCGCGTTTTGAACGTCCGAAGGTGGCGGACACGGTTTTTTTTTCGTCACATTTATCATTTTTAACGAAAGTGTTAATTTTTTTTTTAAATTTGCATTATATTATTATATATATTATTATTATTCGTTTGACGATATTTATTGGGCAAAAAAATAATTAAAATTAACATTTAATTAATACTTGATTTTACCGACGCACCTACATGTTTCTTTTATTAACACATTATAATAACGTATAACTAACCTACGTGTAGTACCTACTTGATATATTACAGTTTTTACGTGATTCCGATTTGGTTAAATACTGCTACAGATTATAAATACTATATTAAAAAATAGTACGACTATATTTGCCGTTTTTTTCGAAAATTCGAGTCCCGGGGTGGAGTAGTGTGTCAGAAACGAGAGTAGGTACCGTGTAGGTATCGCTATATACAGGCATATATACATGCGCCTCGAGATTCGATTTTTTTCGCAAATCTCGCGTCTTGAACGTCCGAAGATGGCGGACATGGTGGTCCGCTCAAACGCCCTTAAGAGTCATAGATTTGGCTCCTAATTTCATCTCGGTAGGTGGCTAGGTAGGTTAGGCGTTAAAACGGGTGATTCGACGGTCGTGGTTTCGAACGCCGGCGGGGCCGTGTTAAATCGAATTTCTTTTTTTTGCGTTTTTTTTTTCGTCACATTTATCATTTTTAACGAAAGTGTTAATTTTTTTTTTAATTTGCATTATTATATTATATATATATTATTATTATTCGTTTGACGATATTTATTGGGCAAAAAAATTATTATAATTAACATTTACCGACGCACCTACATGTTTCTTTTAATAATACATTATAATATAACTAACCTACGTGTAGTACCTACTTGATATATTACAGTTTTTACGTGATTCCGATTTGGTTAAATACTGCTACAGATTATAAATACTATATTAAAAAATAGGACGACTGTAATATGACTGCTTCATTTGCCGTTTTTTTCGAAAATTCGAGTCCCGGGGTGGAGTAGTGTGTCGGAAACGAGAGTATGTGTAGTGTATTCATTTATAGATACCTACGTTCAATATTATAGTAGTACATTTCAATAAAATTTGTTATTCACCAATATAATTATCTATTTGTTAATTTGACTTAATTCTCATAATTAAATAAATATACATGGAAGGTATATTTTAGAAAATATCCAATCAGAAAATTAGATTTTGTCGACTTATTTGTTATAACCGCGAAAACATAACAATGATTACATTGATTACAGTGAAGCCTAACATAAAACACCTGATAACTGTTCTCTATAATTATCAACAAATACAATTTTATTACCTCCTGTATACTTTTTCATATTTGAACGGCCGTTTCGAGCACTTTTCGCTGTAGGCGGATTGTCCGTTCGGGAATCGGATTTCACCCGAGATGACTGATAGCTAGACACTCAAACTCAGAATCCGAATTTCCGATTTCAACACACATACGAGAACCGGACACACACGCCCGGTGCATGGTCTGCGATCCGACGTAGTCGGATTGCCTACCTGACTAGCTACTTGCATACGAGCGACTTACACCCCCACTGCATCTGACACTCGGGAATCGACTTTCACCCGAGATGACTGATAGCTAGATACTCAAACTCAGAATCCGAATTTCCGATTTCAACACACATACGAGAACCGGACATACACGCCCGGTGCATGGTCTGCGATCCGACGTAGTCGGATTGCCTACCTGACTAGCTACTTGCATACGAGCGACTTACACCCCCAGTGTCCCCCACTGCATCCGACACTCGGGAATCGACTTTTACCCGAGATGACTGATAGCTAGACACTCAAACCCAGAATCCGAATTTCCGATTTCAACACACACACTCAAGAACCGGCATACACGAATGGGGCATGGTCTGCGATCCGACGTAGTCGGATTGCCTACCTGGCTGGCTGTGTCTTACGATCGACTTGAATCGCGTGACTTACGACTAGACACTCTTCCGAGTTCAAAAATTACCGCTTAAAAAGTGCTGCCAACACGACAAAACATAATACCCGACGACCCCCCTTCCCCCCGCAGGCTGGATCAAAAAACCCAGCATAGCCGACAAAGATGCACCACCGCCCACACAGTCTTTCCGCCGTAGGCGGGATGACAAACACCGGAATCTAGTATTACTCATAAATTACTATTAATATAGAAATAGTAATAATATGTTTTAATAATAATATTATTGTTATATTATACATATTATGTACATTATACTTGTGTAATGAATATACTGAAATGATTTTTGCCATCGTTATTATAAATACGTGTTCCCTATTTATTTTTATTATATTTCTACTGAAATACTGATTTTTAAAAAATAATTCTGGTAAAATAATGACTTCGGGGATTCGGGTCAAGTGGAATAATTTAGATGCGTTTTCCTAAATATTATTTTAACTTTTATGTTCGAAAAATGTTTTTAAATTAAATAAACCTAATATTATTATTTTTATATTTTAAAAACAATTCAAATCCAAACAATGTAAAAATGTTGTAAAATCTCCACCTAATATTGTCACCTATTACAAAACACAATAACATTAAAGCCATCGAGTATTCGAGTCACGAAGAGGAAAAACGTGGTTGAATAAACGACGCGTAATACAATTTTAAGGACATATTTTGTGGAATGAATGACGTATGAGTCTATAATATGCAGATGTCGCACATACCTCCGTAAGGCTAATGATCATTTACTGTTCACAGAATGTAAATAGAACATCATTTACAATTTACATTGTTTCGTACATTTCGTGGTCCAACATATTTTTTTAATACGAAGTATAATTAAACCAACACGCCGGTTGGCATATATTAATAATTATACATAGACTAGTCGGGGGCATGCGCACGATCAATGAGCACATCATATATTATAAGTTATGATGGGTTAGAAGTTATATTTATAACCTCGTGATTATTTTAAACTGAGTAGTAAACACACATAATATACAAAAATATCAAATATGCCATCAATATTGGGCATTGGCGTCTGATTATTTTAGTAAACACAGCCGCCTATAACTTTGAAGTTAATTATTTCAGATCGTTGTAGTGAAAAAGAGATTGTTAATAAAGTGCTAGATTAATGAATTTTTTTTTCCGTTTCAAGATGAACAGTATAATACGCATTAGAAATTTGGAGAAAATTATTTTGTTTTATCAGTATTTCATATAATAAAACAAATAATTTTAACAAAATGTATTTAATGTTCTAAACACAACGAAATTTATAATCAAGATAATCCGTTAATAAATGCTAACAGTTAATTTAATAAAGACAAAGAATTACATTGTATAGCTGATGGCGTTTGCAGAAATCGACTGAAGCATGGAAATATAAATATTTGAAGTTTATATCGAGCTATTTCACAGAAAATCGAAAAATTTCTGTACGACAATAGTTATAATATATGATCCTTTTTCAGTCTCTCACTCTAGCTCACACACGTGGTATTTTAGGAACACACGGAATACATAGGTACAATATACATGTTGATTATTTTAAAAGAAAAATATAATGAGTAATTCTACGAAAAATATTAACAGTCTTGGAATTATTTGTTGTACGTAATTTAAAGACAAACAAATTTTTTTAAAAATATACAAAATATACTAAACTTTGTAATTTTTTTTTCAAATGACAGCATATATTTTTAATTTCATATTCTGTGGTAGATTATTTTTCTGATAATTTCAATATAAAAAAAATATCAAATGAGCACGTCATAGTTAATTGGGTAATTCAGGTAGTTTCTAAAGTTTCGATGAGATCGAAATACTCGCTGTTTTATTATAGTGGCTCGACAATTGGCTGGATAACCCGTGTACCGAATAATTGGAATTATTTCCCGAAAAAAGACGTACCTACACGTCTTTTCAAGAAAATCAATGTTTACTTTTGAAAGAATCGCCTTGCGTGCGTGCCCCCCTCCCCCCAGCCACCATACACAAAGAAATACATTTAAGTATTATTATTGTTCATAATTGTATCATAATACCTTGCAGACGGCCGGAAGTTGGTGAAACCGTTCTGCTACAACGTCCGGCTCCCAGAGCGCACCATGCTGTTCTACAGGCTCACACTTCTGTTCGTCCAGTACCTGGTACCCGTCGTCATCATAACGGTTGTGTATATGCGAATGGCGTTACGGCTGTGGGGCTCACACGCCCCGGGAAACGCTCAGGACAGCAGAGATGCTAATCTGATGAGGAACAAGAAAAAAGTACGTGCCCGACGCATTAATAACAAAATAATATTATGTTTATAGAATATTATAATATATAATTAAATGTATAGAATATCACGATGATAATATTATCTGGTCCCGTCGATTGACTCCGTCCAGTCAATAATGATAATAATATTATTATACCACCCGTGTGTTATCAGCGGCTGTAATTCTAAAAACGCCAGCCGATAGTGTCACAGTTTATCGATCACCGGAAATTACGCCTACTCCGCTCTGCAAAAGTTATCGAATACAATCAAAATCACTGTTATACGCGTTTGAGGAAAAGTTTCACAGTCGACAAACTTCTCCTTGAATCTCTATAATTAATTACATGATAAAAAAATTGTATGCATATATTTATACTTTCCTCTTACAAACGTATGCAAAACAGTTATTCATTAACATTTTGACGATATATTTTCGTTTTAGTTAATTAATTGTGTTTTAACTTTCAAAAGTTGGAGGGAAGTAGGTAACCTCTGTGCTGTACAGTTGGCTATAGGAGTCGAGTGTACGTATCGCATTGAGTAAATCACTGTAATGGACCATGGATGTGTTCAATAATATGAATTCAATGAAAATCGATAAATCATTGGATACGAAACAATGGTTATTCGTTTTTCAGTTAATCCGAAAGTGTTAAAACGGTTTTGTCAAAAACTTAATTTTATTTTTGATCATCTCGATTGTTTTGAAAATAACTGGGAATTTTGAATTTTGACCTCTCAAAAATACCATATCCAATTTTCTATAAGAAGCCGCCCTCAGAATTGAAGATCAAAGCATTCTTTCAACTATAAATCTTAGATGTAGTAAAAAATATAAATGCTTATAATATACAAATCTAATGTATCTGGTATCTGAATGAAGGAAAATAAGTATAATTAAATATAAGACAATGTTTATCTTATACAACGAAAATACCTGAAAGTTGGATTATTATAAATAATAGAGCAACCTTTTTAGAAATCATTGAACTATCATTTATGGTAGTTTATTGCATTGGTTCCACGTTATATGCGATCCACGATATATTACACAGTACTTACGGATAATGGCCACATTAATAATTGCGTCCCTGTGGGCTTTGGTTTTTCAATTTTAATTACGGTTCCAACCGGAAAATAAAGATAGATTAAAATTGCCTTTGTTCTTTTTGAGCAAACTTCTCGGAGGTGTAATTTCTCCAGTATATACGAGTACCTATATCTTACGAGACTTAGATATTATTGAAATCCAATATCAAAATTGGAAAATCATTTTTAACTTTTAGTGGACAGAATTGTGGTAAATTAAATTGTTTCTGAGTATTGGGGTTAATGTTTATAGTACTAGGTATTTTGGAAGATTTAAATAAGCGGTAACAGGTATACGATATAAATATAATATACTTAGAGTGATCCTTACACTATTGAGTTAATGTCATTTTTGTTTGTTAATGGTATAATATATTCGACTGTTCGTGTAATCCTTGGAGTAAACTGAACAATTATTTTTTTATTTCTTTCATGTTTTTGATATGAGGGTGTCGAGTGGTAGCTAGATGAGAAATTGTGTTTATTTGTATATTTTGATAATAAAGTAATGGCCTTCGGCACATTTCTATTCACAAATATTACGTGCTTAGACTAAATAATTGAAGTCTAATTGATTGTTTAGTAAAGCATTTCAATTTTCGTTGGTTAATCAAATTATAATTTCTGCTAACAATTTAATTTAGTTTAGGAATTACAACAATAAACATAAAAAAGATAAGTTATGCAGTAGTTTTCTACATTTTCTTAAACCATAGAATGGTAGTTTATTTACCTATAAAATAATATTTTTTTAAAACTTATAAGTAATAAATTGTAATATTTGTGCTAGAACTAATTGATAAAAACATTCAGAAATTGTTGATAAAGTTAACTTTATTGTTAATTTATGATACACGATGTATAAAAATGTATCCTGTTTCAAATATCAGTAAAAAAAATTACTTTGATTTAGAATAGTGGAAAAGTATTTGTCCCAACTTAGTTAACATAATAAAATATAACTATTTAAATTGTAATTCATAGGAATTAACTATTTTAAAAACACCTGCATAATACAAGAAGTATAATAAATGGGTCTAATATTGTAATAATCATATTATTATAGATGCTAGATGCATTAATTTAACCACAATAATTCTTGATATATTTGTGTCGTTTAATTATATCCTATTATCTGAATACGAGAAAAAATCAGATACATTATTCGTATTTAGCTACAGCTTATAAGTTTATATAACAACGCGTCATGTGAGTCGACAAGTCCCGCCACTTTCAGCACGAGGGAGTTGATTCTAAATATGGTGGAGTAGGAAATGCATATTACACAGAATCAAATGAAAAAATTATGAACGGTGTTGGATTTGAATGAGAGTGACGTGCAAACACTGAGCCACCGTATCAATTTAACCTAGGTGCACTTATAAGTGGATCGATGAGGACGTCGACAAATATGCCACCACGACAGACTCTCATTTATATTTTCCAATATTTTCTATATTGGGCACGTAACGTGATATATACCAGAATCGATTATTTATAAAAGGGGTTAAGTAAAAAAAAAAATAAAACCTTCGGGAAATTAAAAATAAAATGCATTCATCGTCCCGCTCAGAATTTAAAAAATTATCCCAGCACTTAGCACTCTATTCATAAAATGTATAAACTAAATGATTGAACTGACATAATAATATTAAATACTTACCACAAATTATCATACTAGTTTGACTCCTTTCAAAAGTTTACGATCCGTCTATACGATATGTACCAACTACACTTTCGCTCTCTAGCCACAGAAGATAATATTTCTATAAAAAATTAAATAACTTTCTGAAAAATTGTGATTGAACACCTTTTTCTAAATAAAAGATTCAATTACTTACTATTCGATACGTCCTTCACAGCAATATGATATAATATAACTATTATAGTGATAGGGTGAAGTATTGCTCGACAATAGATATTCAGGAAGAATGTTGGTGGTGGTTAAGTCACGATTTATTATATTTATAACAATTATAACCTAATTTGTACATGTACGTATATAGTTTGATTGCTAAGGAGGGCACCTTTATACGTGGATATGACATGGTAATGATTGGGACTATACTTTAGGTTCTTCCGCACCAATTTAAATTTAATTCAACGCAACTGGAGTGTGCTATTACTGCGATTACATACTCGTTTAAAATGATAGCCCTTTGATGTCATTCATTTTAATACTACTACAGACAATGAACGCTCTTGAAGCACCTACAGCTGTTATGGGTATATATATATGGTTTAATATAAATTTGTAACTACCGCTACAAAACGTTAATAACATTTTAGTAAAGATAAGTTGCTTACACTTTTGACAATAAATCATTTTTTACGTCTCAAGAAAATAATTTATATCATATCATGTAAAATTTAAAATCTCATTATTTACATGGTTCGATTTACTTTTAGTACATCACTGTTTACAATACATAATATAGTACTAGATACATGGAAGTATTAAACCAATATATTTTGTTTTCAAACAACCATTGGTATATAGTATAACAAAAAGTAATAAATGATAACATTCAGTTAACGCAAAACAAACCAAACTATATGCATATTTGTTTAAAATATGAAATACCCACTTCTACTTGTTGTTGGGTGAATGTGTAATTTTTCGATACATGCATCGACAAGCACCATATTTTATAATTGAATTATTTATTTATTATCAATGATTTGATTTTTTTAAATTTTAAGTATACGTCTTTATCACCATATTTTCAATTAGGTATTCAGTGTATTCAATGAGTACAGCTGTTCTGATACAACTTTTGTTTCGAAATAAATTATTCTGTACTCATTTATGCATTCGCCTATTGAGTTTTTGAATACATTATAGATAGAACCTATTGTTATATTATATAAAACGTATATTTGATTGTTTAATCTATAAACATTGTTCAAGTAAAAAAAAAATAAGTAACTGACTACGTTATAACTGGTTAGCGTACAATATTATCGTATCATTTATATCGAGGGTGACACGCACTAAAGGTGCTATCGCCTATCGCCTTACCCTGCTCGTACTCTCTAACCTAATGACTCTCTCTGAAATCAATTGGGTCAGCACTGTTAATTAATACAATTTAACACGGTTTTTGGTCGGAGACACGTGTTTATTATCGATTTAAAATAAACATAAAATAATTCACTCCTCCGAGGTTACGATCGCTACTTGTCCGCACACTAGTCGCACACACTCTTGACGAACTCGACGACGACAAGAGCGTGACTCCCACATATTTGTCACGAATCAAAATAAAAACTATAATATATAATGGTCAAATAATAATTGTGTGGTCTCAGCACATTTTCTACATTGGCTTGGCCTACAACAATAACTATTACATTGCTAAAATGAAACCGTTACTATTATTATAATGCTGCCTATGACTTATAAAATATTTGTAAATTACTATCAGTGGTATACGACCGTATGATAATATTATTTTAGATTTTATGAGAAGACTCCCATCATGAAGTTGAGCACTATGATAATATTATTATTCTATGGTTAGGTTAAGTTTCTTGATGGATTATTGAACGAGTAAAACGTCTCACATTATTTGATAAGGCTCATAATATCGTTATCTCAAAAATCGATAATATCACAAATAACTCTATTGGTTTCTATATTTAAATTGTGTACTTATAATAATTATTGTATTATTTTATGATTAATTGCCTATGCTATTATTATCCATTCAAAATAGTATTTATTACGCGAGCTTAAGATAAGTTACTGTGTGTGTAATGTCTAGTGTGTACAACTACCACCAAACACAATTTCCATGTAAAAATAAAATAAAACGGTTGTGACTGAATAACGCATAACATCGTCTGATACTATACTGACGTATTATACTAAATATTGTCAAATTCTGCGCATTTTTATCTATTGTATGGCAATACAATGGAATTACTTATAAAGTTATTATTATTTTTTTTTTTTTATATTGACAACTTTTTTTGCCCTTCCTAGTCCAATTTAACACAAAATCCAAAAAGAGTTGTTCTTGCAGCAGTTTAAAAATATCAAACTCTTAAGGCATACTTTTTTAATGCCACTTCATCACAATTACCCGAAATTGGAGTCCTTTCAACTTTAAGTAATTCATTCACAGTTAAACCTAAAGGCTTGGTTTCCTACAATCACGCATCCGTGATTGCGTGGTGCGCGATACGTGATCGCTCGGTCACACTTGCGTGATGCGTGATACAGCTGTTTTGCTACACTATGCGTCATTATGACTGCGGGATTGAAAAGTTGATCAGTTGGTGTCAGACCGTCAGACGAAATGGACGAAATGGACTTGGCACTCTACAATTTGATCGAAGATGATGCAGATGAAGAACTTTTACTCCTTTCTTTATATTTTAGAGAAGAAAGTGACGATATTTATAATGAAAGGAAGAGAGAAGGATGCTTCAATAACTTAATTCAAAGACGTTTAATTGATAATGAATCAAAGTTCAAAGCTTATTTTAGAGTGTCCTTTGAGTTATTCAATAATATACTAAATTATATTAAAGAAGATATTAGAAGGCCACCAAGTAATCGTATAAAAAAACCAATAACTCCAGAAGAAAAGCTATGTGTCACTTTGAGGTAAATTAAAATTAGTTGGTATATTATATTGTGTTCACTATTTAATTGTTTTGTGGTTTTTAAATGTTTATTAAAAAAAAAAGTAAATACATGAATCTAACTTTATAAAATAATATTTCACTTTTTGAATTTAAAATAATAATAAATGGTTTAAATAAATTGTTATTACTTTTTAGTATTAAATAACGAAAAATATAAAAATAATAATAAGTACTCAAATTAGTCTTAGGGCATAGGTAGGTAATTCAAATATGTAAAAGTATTATTTGGATTTGGTTCGTCAACAGGAATTCTAGAATATGACTGTAATGATTCTTCACTTGTGACTGGAATAAAATTTTGTGTAGATGAACTTGTTGATGCTGTTTCTTGATCCATCGTTCCCATTGATATATTTGTCTTTAATGCGCGCAATTCTATTTCGGATATAATATTGCAAACCCGATTTCTCGCCTCTACTGCTAATTCTGGAGGAAAAGTCATGACTGTTGAAGCCATACTTTTAAAAAAAATTTGTATTGGATGGTTTTCTGATTGTTGCTTTATTTCTTTGATCATTTTTAAGCGTTCTTCTCTACCTTGTCTTATTTCTTGTAACAATCTTTCCTTGTTGCCTCCTTTTTTTGGTTTTTCATTAACATTTTTAAATATTTCGTTTGGGACAACATTTGAGGTATTATTCAAATTATTGTCATATTCGTTTGTTTCATTAATTATTGAAGTTTCACTAGTTGGTTCAATATACATTTCGGAGTTGTAGTTTTCAGTCTGGTGCGCACTGTCACTTCCTGTTATCTCTGAACAATCCAAGCTTGCAGTATTCTCAATATTTTTTTCGATCATTATACTTGATTTTGTCCTAAAATTTCATATTATGTTTTAATAAACAAAAAAATAAATTGTAATATTTTTAATATAAAATATATAATATTCATTGATTTATATAACAACTACGAATAAAAAAAGGTAGGGCAGCATTGAGGTGGAGGAAGTTTGTCCATCGTCGCTTCGGTCCTCGGAAAGGATGGTGTAATTTTGTAGTATTCGATGTGAATGCAATGACTGCATTCGATAAAAAACGATTCTGAGCGGACGGAAGAATATTTTTTATTTTATTAAATATAAATATTATTTGTTTCTATGGCGATAAACAAGGCGTTAAAAATTGAAATCCCGTTTTTTCGTAATTTTTCGGTGGTTTTTTCCGAGACTTTAAATAACTATTGAGAAAATCAAAAAATGACCTCCCAAAAGTATCAACTAAACTTTGTCCATAGGATGAAAAAAAAAAAAAATAAACATCATTGTAAAACCACTAGAATAACCGCACCGCTCAGAATCTAAAATAAAAAAAAAACTTTAAATAAGTACTTTTTAAAACCTTAATATTTTTTTAAAAAGTTATTACTTTTTAAATTAATGAGCCTTACAATAAAAAATATTGATATGTTAAAAAACCATAAAAAAATAAACTACTTAGATAAATGTTTCACAATCAACTTTTCTAAAAACCAGATTTACAAATTTATTATACCTATTGAAATTTAAAAATAATATTTTAAAGTATAGAAAATGATAAAATAAACATAATATGGTGTACATTTTCGTTGAATTTCTATGTTTAAAAGCTTGTAAAAAATATTGAGAAAATAGTGTTTACCTTCTCTCCTCTTCTTGTTCGTTCAAAAAGCTTAATGCGTCATCATTGTATTTTGATTTATTTTTTGCAGCTGAACCAGTACCCATTTTCATTTTTTTTAAAGTTTTTTTGTATGAGTCCCTAATAGTTCTCCATCGTGTCTTGCAATCATTAGCTAAAAATATATATTATATTTTTTTACAGATTTTTGGCTACAGGAGAGAGTTACAGGTCCTTAGCGTTTCAATTTAGAATTTCACATAGTTGGATAAGCATAATAGTACGAGAAGTCCTTGCAGCAATTTGTGCAAAATTGAAAAATATAGCAATTCCACAACCAACTGAAAATCTTTTAAACAATGTTTCCGCAGAGTTTTATAAAGCATGGAATTTTCCGAACTGCTGTGGTGCGATAGATGGGAAACATATTCGTATTGTTTGTCCCGCTGACTCTGGCTCAATGTACTTTAATTACAAGTCTTTTTTTTCCATTGTACTATTGGCGTTAGTTGATGCAAATTATAAGTTTTTATTTGTGGACATAGGGTCTTACGGGAAAGAAGGCGACGCTGGTATTTTTCCTAAATCAAATCTGGGAAAATTAATTTCATCTGGGGAATTTCCATTTCCAGAGCCTAAGTGTTTACCATTTACAGATATAGTTTTACCTCATGTTTTCGTGGGGGACGAAGCATTTAAATTAACAAATAATATGATGAGACCATATCCTAGAGAACAGTCAAAGGCAGATGTCACAAAAGCAATTTTTAACTACAGACTAAGTAGAGCTCGAAGAACTACTGAAAATACTTTTGGAATTCTGTGTCAGTCGTTCAGAGTATTTTTCACTCCAATCAATATTCTACCAGAAACAATTGATGATTTGGTGATGGCGGCTTGTATTATTCATAACTTATTACGAGATGAACGTACAAATTATTCGACTAATTATTCGAATGAAAATGATATAAATATGGAACTTCCGAAAAACATGATGCCTTTTAATGCCGTAGGAGGAAATTCTTCAAATGAAGCTTTTCGTGTACGTGAATCATTCAAAAATTATTTTAATAGTGGAGCTGGATCGGTTAGTTGGCAGACAAAACAAGTGACAAGGACAAGTTAAGAACATTTCACATACAAAAATGTACAAAAATGTAATAATTTAAAAAAGTAACTAATAATATAAACTTAATATTCAGTATTCTATTTTATTTTTTTTCTAACTACTAATTGTTTTGTTTTTCTTACCACTTTTTCCGATACTAAATGAAATTTCTTTCCAAACATTATCCTTTATGTTATTGTCTCTATAGTTCTTGTCTTTTAACTTGTATAAAACAGGGTGATCACGAACAAGTGCTATTAATTGTTCATCATTCTCTGGAGTGAATAATTTTGATTCCATGATGAAAAAAAGCTATATAATATATAAAATATTATATTCAAATATATAAGACAGTGTAATTGATAGTAATATTTTAAGTATAGGTATTAATTAATCACAAATAATATTAATATATATATATATATATATATTATATTATATTATAAACAATTAATAAAACAATGATTTACTAAGATTATTATTTTTTTGATAAATCATAGTATGCTTTAATAAATTAAAATAAATAATCCAAGTGAAATTAATATTTTTAAGAAGTAATTATTATAAAAATATACTATAATAATGTGAAAATTAGACTCATACAAAATCATAATTAATGAATAGCATGTAAAATGTAAATAAAAATAGATTCTTAGCTAATATTATAAAATATTAAATTAATTGTCGTAACTAATGAAATATAGAGACTTACATAGGTAATTGAATATCAGATTATTGGTTGGATTAGAGACGTAGAGTACAGCGTAACCTCTTCGTTGGACTTCACAATGTCTTGTGTTCACATATTTTATTTTATTTTGTTACAGTGTATAGTGATAATTTTGGGTAATTTTGTGTTCACTAGTACCTACATTATTTATAAACGTAAAATCGTTTATTTTTAAAATTGTTTGAAATAATATAAACACACCATTAAATATTTGGCTATAAGATAATTATACTTACTTATATAATATATTTCATATCGGAATAAAATGTATTATTAGACTTGTTTGTACGAGTTCAATAATACCACTTTTGTAATTGTTTCCAGAGGCCATTGATTTATAATACCCTTATAGGTAGATAATATTAAAATATTCTATCAATAGTTACCTAGCTAGTTGATGATATTTTCCAATTATGTTAAACGAAAATAGTGGGATGGTTCAATGGTTGTACAAGTTTCTGCATTTATAAACTGTTATATTATCTTTATAAATATGTTTATCTAAATAGCCAATAGGTATATATTATATAAAATAATGAAAAACTAAAAAATTGTACATGTACTCATAAATATGGTATATCTATTCAGTGAATATGTGTATCAAGTGTAATTGGAGGGGAGCTTTGCCCTCCCATGACTCTGTGTTCTGAAAATTATCTGGACAATCCCCATGACAAATTCCTAAATACGCCACTGATTATTATAGCAAGTAGCAACCATGGACCCTGGATTCTGGAGGAATCAAAACACTTTATTTTTTAAACACCTTTTTTTTTAAATTTGATTTTTCATCCTGTGCGTGACACGCAATTTTTGACTTGCAGGCAACCGGGACGTGATTCACGCGCGTGAATCATCAATCCCGTGCGTCAAAATTCACGTGCGTGAATTGTTAGAAAACACTATTATTGTTTTTCATACTTCATATTTTGCGCGATCACGCAATCACGTATCGCGCACCACGCAATCACGGATCCGTGATTGTAGGAAACCAAGCCTTAAAGCCCTGGTTTAATACAATCACGCATCCGTGAATGCGTGGTGCGCGATGCGCGATGCGTGTTCACGCAAAAATTGAAATACCGAAAAACAGTGTTTGTGTTAATTAATAATTCACACGCGTCATTATTCAAGCGCGTGATTGTCCGTTCACGCGCGTGAATCGCGCTGCGGTCGACACTTGGGCAACATGGGCGTTTAACGCAGCCCAAAGTACAAATATAAAATACATTATATTATTTTACTACACCATCAATAAGTGCAAATTTGTGGGGGGGTTTAAACCCCCAAACTTAGCCATAGCACCCCCCCCCCCCCAAAAAAAAAAACTTAGGACATACAATCTTAATATGCTATATTGCAATGGTCTGCTTGCTTTTAATATATTCAGCCCCCTCAAGCCAAAAGTTAAAATTGCGCCTATGACACCATCCCTTGATTGGAAATGAATAAATTAATATTTATAACATACAATATTTAGTAGTATTTATATAGTTATTATATAAATATATTTATATATATACTCGGATTAAACAGCAGTAGGTAAGTATAAATTACATTTATTTTCTTCAACAGTATCTTGTTCGATGGGAAAGTGAATCTAGTTGGTGCATTCGGGAGATCAAATTTTAAAATTCTCAATAGTTTTCGAAAGTGCAGGGAAAAACAACATAAAAATTAAGGAAAAATGGGAATTTTTACTCAAAATCGGTTTTTGACAAAATTGATTTTGGTTTTTGGTGTAACTTTGGTTTAACATGAAATTTTAACTGGTTGTTTATATTTGAATTTTGAATTTTCTATACACGAGAAAGTTTATAAAAAATATTTTGATTTGTTTTGAACTATTTAGGATCATTTTCAGTTTCCAATTTTATTAGTCTTTTTTTCTATGGATGTCAATAAAACTTTATTTGTTGTGTAAAAATGCTTGAAAATTTAATACAAGGCTCTTACTATATAAAAAAACATTAAAAATGCACATTAAATAGTCACAGTTTATTTTTATAAGCATTTTAAGTTCAAATATTGACAAAATACTGAAAAATCACGAAAATGACCAAATTATTTTGAGTTGAGAATTCATAAAAATTTTTCTTTCTAAATCTAAGATTTTAAATATAATACAATATTATTCATAAGTTTGTCTACTTTTATCAAAAAAAAAAAAAAATGTCTACAAGCAAACCAAATTAAATTTTTATGAGCGTTTGAAGTTCATATTTTTACAAGATTGGATATTCACTCGATTTCTCATGTTATCAGTGGTTTTGTTATTTTATTGTTATTCAAAAACGAATAACTGTAGATATATGAAAATTTTACTAAATTTTCATATTTTCATTTCATTTTGTGTTCACCATAAAATTTTGAAAATATTTTGGCACTATTTTTGAACTATTTACTGACATTGTCAGTTTTCAAATTTTTTAGTTTTTTTTTTCTATAAATTTCAATAAAATTTTATTTGTTGTTTAAAAAAGCGTGAAAATGTAATGCAAGGCTCCTGATATATTATTACAATATCAGTTGAATAATTTTAAAAATACATAGGCACGATTTTTTTTTATAAACATTTAATGTTCGAATTTTGACAAAATTTATCAAATTTAAAATTTAATAATTATTTTGTAGTTAAAATTTATAAAATGTTCAACTTTTATAGTTAATCCCATCATAGTAAAATCTGTTGGTGAACTTGGTGTTATTCTTACTGCCAACCTGTTAATAATTGAAATTTCTTGCTGCAAAGTACTTAAAACGCTCGGTTTCATTAAACTAGTCACAAACGATTTTAAGTAGTCAATGCCTCCCTAAAAAGCCTCACATGCGCACTTCTAAGACCAATCGGGTGTGATCTTGTTATATGATATCTCCCTCTACTTCTTCCAGCTCTTGTATAATTCAACGTATTCAACTTATATTTTTAATGTTTGCTTTAAGTATTTATTAAAAATCCCTAGCCCACATTATGATTTTTCTTCAATTCTATACACAATTTGGGTCTTAACTCCCAAACATGCAGTTAATATAGATTTCCTCAATTACCACCTGAACATTAAAATATGCGACTCTCGTTGAGAATATAACGAACCTCTTCCCCGTTGTATGTCTTTGGCTAGAAGATCTGCACTACCTCGCTCGTCCCTAAATTTTTCATTTATTTCACAGTGTTCTATAGTTTTTTTATTTCTATCGTACCATTAACTATTATTATATTATACTTTATATTATTATATGATAATTGCTGTATTTTATTGATAACAACTAATGAGTAACGCGACTCGATAGATGAAAAAGGGATACCAAACAATGGTTCTTATTCCGTATAGTGTCGCGTTTGGAGTAAGAATAGAGTGTTGCCATCATATAAAACTGTTGTCGTACAGATACCATAATATTGCTTTTGTATCTCGATTGTTCGGACTTTCAAGTAGGTAGTTAATGTAGGTGTTAGGTTTAATGTTCGTCAATAATTTGATTTTAAATTTAAATTTAATTTAGACCCTTTATGCACAATTAGATGAACTTAAATAATCATGTATAATAGATTGGGTGCAAATTATGGGGAAATAATAGCTATGTTATATTAGCGTTATATTCAATTCGGGTGGGTATAGAAGAAAATCAAACAACAATAACTGTCATCAACATAAAAGTATAGATCGTATACTTTTTTTAGGAGGTTTTAGGGTTGTAATGGTTGTATATACCTACTTCAATGAAAATATATTAAGTACGTTCAAGAATGTGTACAAATATTAAAAACCTGTTGAAAACAAAACGTATGTGTACAATTCATTAAAATGCACTGCTAAAAAAATACATAACCATGTTCATCAAAACGGATTTTTTTCGTTTACTTTATATTATATTTTAGACTATAAATACCATTATTATTATTATTATTATTTTTTTTTATTGATCAAGAAAACGCTTCAACAATATTGATTATTAGCGTGTGTGGTTACATTTTTTTTTCAACAGTATTATTATGAAGATATTTTGCTTAACGAGTTTATACAAATCAGATATTTTTAGAAAATTTACTATTTTGTTGTTTGCATCATCGTCGGGTCCCAGGATTTCGGATAATTGTTCAGGCAGATTGATTTTTTAATGAAATCTTCGTATTTTAGACAATCAGTGAGTACCTATGTGTTTTACTGTTGTGAGTGTTCCACATGTGATGCAAATTGGGGGGGGCTTTCTTTAGCCACTGTTATTACTAGTTATATTATTATTATTATTATTATTATTAAAATTTAAGGAAAATGTCAGATAATAACTTGAAGGAAAAAAACCAATTGAGAGAGACGTGGCAACGGAATTACACAATAAACCGAAAGCATTGTTTTGAATCAAATTCAATGTCATTTGATAATTGACTGTTAAAAGAAGCAGTCTACAACTCTAAAATAGTATGCGACATTACAGTTAATAGAAACTTAGTAATATATTATATAATATTTATTAGAAATTTGTTATTAATTATTTCAAATTAGGGTTTCTATCGAATATGTGTATACGTATATTATAATTCATAAGCATAGTTATAAAACAATTTCAA